CCATTTTTATTACTTCATCCCATTTCCCCCCGGTGTGTACATGGAAGAAGACCAGGACAAGCCACCTGGATATGGGCTGACTCGGGGTCCTGAGGCCAGAGGCAAGAATAAGACAGTTAACCAGGTGTGAAGTTGGTGAAGGCATCAGATATCTGCCTGCCCAGGGCCACTTCCCTCTTGGCGTTGACGTTAACCCTAGCTTCTGCAACTACTGTTTTTCAAAAGGAAGAAAAATCAAGCCTATGTCCAAGCTCAGATCATGCACATTCAACCCTTAATCCAACTGCTGCCTGTGAAAGTATTTCCACTTGATCCTTCTAGTTCCTCTAGAACTGTAGTCCTAGTCAATCAAAGGCTGCCAGCCAATGTCTCGGGCCCATGTTTAGGTGACTGTCCCAGACTACTGCTTCTTAGGGAGATGATACTAAAACCATGGAACCTGCCCCCCATCCCCACCTCGCCCTCCCATCAATAGCATTCACCAGCCAAAACGACTTAGCTGTTCTGGGTAGCCAGCAACACCTCCCTCTGATGTCCATTAGCGAACACCGAGGTCCTTGGAAGTGCAGTGCCTGGCTGCCTGTGTGTCTCCAGGTCAAAGGACCACCGTGAAGATGCAAAATGGTTGCTTCCAAGAAGGGAAAGTGGTCATTTAGTGAGAGTGTCTGCCCTTCCCAGGAAGTGCATTTTCAGTTTTATTCCTCCTAATTCTCCACCGGAAGCTAGGGTAACTTTCTGATACCGCTCTCCCTGCCATGTTGTGATCTCTCTCGGGGAGTCAAGCAGTGAGGGGGCTTTCTAATTTATGCTGTCAGGATCTGGCTTCTTGGTCCCTTCCTTAACTGTCCCGGCATGTACACACACAGATGTACTTCCTCCGGTCATTTATTCCACAGCTGTGGGGCCTGCACATGAATTCCACAGAAAGTGCACACCACTAGGCTTCTTAGCGCATGTAAAGACCGTGGTGAGCAGATGAAGATCTATTACCTACCAAGTTTAGTTTAGGTCATCCAACTTGGGGGTTTAGAACCCAGGCAAAGGTGCTCTTCTACCTATAGAGGACGTCGGCCCTGGGGCAGGCATGTGTAAGTGGACTGAATGAGGAGTCGGCCCTTGGGGACCTGTAGGCCTTTATAGGCTTTAGTAGAAGAGAGGTTTTTCCCCGTGGAAGGAAATGGGAAAACGGTGTAGATAGGAACCCTTTATAAAACAGCCAGAGGCCTCTGGACAAGATGAGGTGCCTGGAAAGCCAGGTTACTACGGGGCTTCATTCATTTTAGTGTAAGGCCTGCCCTGATCTGAGTCTGGAGCTAGGAAGCTGTTTCTGTGCGAGCTCTAAGTGTCAGGGAGGCACATGAGAAAGGCACTTCTAGCCTGAGCAACATGACGGTGCCTCCTTCTCTGCCTCCCTCTTGCTGCAGTATCAGGCCAGGCCCCTTCTCTAACCCTCAGAGAACTCAGTCAGTGAAACACCGACCAGAGCCTGGACTTGAGCTGACCGCCCCAAGCCTAGGAATCCCCAGCGACTGACATTAACTGCCACTGCTCTAACTTCTCCCAGGACTCGGTCAGTTTAGTGGAGACAGGTTTGTCGCTGGAAGTTCACTGAGACAGTCCTGGTGTTTGGTCCTTAGGAAACTCTTCATATCTGAGAAGTGTAAGCTATATGCGTGGTGGAGGTGGCTGGGATGGATTAGGAAATCAAACGTCAAGATGTGAAAAGACTTTCTCAAACATTCAAAAATGTGTATTTGCTGCTTAACCTCACGACAGCCTCAAACTAAGAACAGAGAGACAAGATAGGACTGACCGTCAGCAGAAAATGTTAACCTGCCTGGTTTCTTTCTTAAGCAGAGTCAGAAAAGTGGAAGCAAACACCACAAGACTATCTTTAAATGCGATCTGTCTCAATGGTAGCACACCCTGTCCTTGGGCCGTTATTGAACTAGGAATCCTCTAAGAAGACGTGATAGAGGGAATCGAACCCCCAGTTCGCAGTTTATCTAGACAACACAGATTATAGCAGTCTGGACAAAACTGAACTTTATTCTGTGTGAGTGGAACTGAAGTTTCAGAGAATAATCGTAACCATGTGGGAGGCTTTCTTTTATTTTAATGCAGAAGAAATCTCAAAATATTGTATTTATATCTGCCTTCCACTGCTGTTGATATAGTAAGCATCTCCTACACAATCAACAATAAACAGCAAATGATGCAGTTCATAGAGTATTTTGCACTTGGGGAAAAATATGTATCTGAACTTGTAAAAAGAAATGTTTGGATTTTGTATTGTCTTTTTTTATTATTATTATTAAAATACTAAATGAAATTCCTCAGCTTGGCGTCTTCTATCGCAACAGCTTATCCTTGAGCCAGAAAGTGCCTCTGGCTTTTTACTTTGAGGAGACAACTTTCAGGTAAGACTGACCCATGTTTGGGGCCGGCAGGGTGCTGGATTCCACATGGCCAACTGCGGTTTGAATCCCAGACCTGGCAGCTTGCTTTCTCATTTTCCTTCTCTCTGTGTGTGTGTGTGTATGTGTGTGTGTGTCTGTGTGTGTATCTGGTCAAATTAAAATAATGAATAAATAAAATGTTTTAAAGAATTACTTTATTTAACTTTATCTATTCTAATTTGACCAGAGAGGGACAGAGACAGAAAGAGGGGGCGGAGGGGGAGAGAGAAAGTGAGAAAGCAAACCACCAGGTCCAAGATTTGAACCATTGTCCATCATGTGAGAGTCCAGCGTCCTTAACCACCACGCTATATACCGGCCCCAAGGATGTTATTCTTTATTACCACAGTATAGTCTACAAAGCTGGCCAGGCCATGGGTAGCTTAGGCACCTCCCTAGTTATGATGGCCCATCTCTAGCAAAGTATCAGCACTGAGGCCTATCTTCCTTCTTATTTTTCAGGACACCTGCATTAATATCCCAGAATTGTTTGAGAGTCACTCAGTGTCATTTTTTTTAAGCAATACATTCTTGGTCACCAAAGAGAATTCTAAAATGAAGATGATTCAGTCACTACTACCATCATTACTACAGTAACACATGAGAAAGCAATTCAGTCTCTCTTTTTTTCTTTAGATTTTTATTTAATTTTATTTATCCATTCACATTTATTTTAATTTGACTGGAGAGAGGGAAAATGAGAAACCAAGCCACCAGGTCCAGGACTCAAACCGTGGTCGGCTATGTAGGAGTGTCCAGCGCCTTAACCACCACATCACCTGCTGGTCCCTCCAGTCTCTTTTATAGTCACATTTTGTTTTCTTTTTCTTTTTAAAATTTATTTATCTAAATTTTGACCAGAGAGGGACAGAGTGAGAGAGAGAGAGAGAGAGAGGGGAAGTGACAAAGGAAGCGGCCAGGTCTAGGACTCGAACCACAGTCAGCCATGTGGGAGCCCACCATGCCACCTGTCAGCCCCAATAGTCACATTTTCTAAGCTCAGAGATGATAAAACTTAACTGTTGCAAGTATAGGATTCTCTGACATGAAATTTTATTGGATTTAATATCTACACATTATAGCCACATAAGAGGATGATTTAAGAAACAAGGAAAATGTACCGGATTAAAAAATATGTAAGGTTGGGAACCAGCAGTTAGCGTAATGGCTATGTCGCTGGACTCCCACGTAGTTGACCATGGTTCACGTCCCGGACCCGGTGGCTTAAAACTCAAGCCGGGCGCGTGTGTGTGCGTGCCCAAGATCCCGAGAGGAGAATGGAGGAGAAGGGATTGCAGCGTGACCATCCCCCCTGGGGGGGGGTGATTTCTCGCTTTCTTTCTTTCTGTCTCTGTCTGTCTGTCTGGCGAGCGAATGCGCCCTATAGCGAAAACCTTTCCAAAAAAAAAAAATAATAATAATAAGGTTGGCCTATAAGAATCATTTTTTTAAAACTGTATTGGTTATTATTCTTTATTTTTTTATTTGACCAGAGAGAGAAAAGGGAAAAGCGAGAAAGTAAGCCACTAGTTCTGGGACTCAAACTACAGTTGGCCATGTGGGAATCCAGCACCCTAATCACAGCATACCACCTGCTGGCCCAGCCTACTGGAATCTTTAACTTCCCCTTTAGCATCTAGAATGAAGATAGGTACATTCATCCCACAATTACTGAGTTCACATAAATATGATTATAATATATTCTGATTGTAACTGGACATAGAATCCAGTCCACTTGGTGGCTATGAATATAAATAACGTGCTGGCATTCCGTTTTATACACTGACTTCCTAGTTTGGTTTAGTGTGACGAAACATGAACACATTTGTGTACGCTGACGACAGTCTCATTCGTAGCACTGCAGAGCGAAGAGCCATGCCCAAGGCCACTGCGCTATGCCGACTGGGTGTAGTGGCTACTACATTAACTTGGTCTGATAGCTCCTCCTAACTAACCTTCTTCTAGTCCAAGAACACGCCTTCCTTCTTACTGTCCAGGACACCTACAATAGTGTCTCAGAATAATTTGTAATCAAGGCCATTGGAGTAGGATCTGTCGGTCTTAAGAAGTCTTTAGGGGGACCAGGAGAGGGCGTAATGATTATGTCGGTGGATTCCCATGTAGTCGACTGTGATTCGAGTCCTGGACCCAGAGGCTTAAAACTCATGTAGGATGGGGGGCAGCAGATGGTATGGTGGTTAAGGGTGCTGGACTCCCACATTGGCTGACTGCAGTTTGAGTCCTTGACCTGGCGGCTTGCTTTCTCACTTCCCTTCTCTCTCTCTCACTCTGTCCCTCTCTGGTCAAATTAAAAATAAATAAACTTCATAAAACAAAACAAAAACCTCATGTCAGGTGTGTGTGCATGTGTGCCCAACATCCCAAGAGGAAAATTGAGGAGAAGGGATTGTGGTGTGGCCATCTCCCCCAGGAGTTCATTTCTCACTTTCTGTCTGTCTCTGTCTCTCTGGTGAGCACACGCGTCCTATAATAAAAATCTCTCTAAAGGGAACCAGCAGT